TGCAGAGGTCACAGGAGAATGACGGCAGGGAGCCAGCCATGAGAAGCCACTCAGGCCAGGGGCAGGGACAGATCAGCACAGTAATGGAAAGGAGATGGCACCTGTGTTCAGTGGCTTCCAAAGAGAGCCATGTCCGAATCCCTGAACCTGTGAATATGGTATGTTATGTGGCAAAAGGCATTTTCCAGATGTGATTAAGTGGACCACCTCGAGATGGAGAGGTTATCCACATGGGCCCAATGTCATCACAAGTGTCCTTGTAGGAGGGAGGCAAAGGACCAGAGAAGGAGATGTGACCATGGAAACAGGTTAGAGTGATATGGTCCCACAAGCTAAGAAATGTAGGAAGCCTTTAGAAGCTAGAAAAGGCAAGGAAAGAGATTCTACCCTATAGCCTGCAGAAGGAACATAACTCGGCTAACCCATTTTAGACTTCTGGCTTCCTGAAATTTAAGATAATAAATTTGTGTTATACTAAGCCACTAAGTTCATGGTAATTTGTTACAAGTACAAAAAAAAAGAGAGAGAGAGAGAGAGAGGAGAGAGAGAGAAAAAGAAAAACAACCCATTTGCTATATAAAATTCAAACTATAACTATATACACTATAAAAGACACACAGAGAAGTCCAGGAGTTTTAGCTTTTCCATGATGACTTTCATCTTGTTCTGAAATACCAATCATTTTAAAAATATTCAAGTATCCCTGGCCTGCAGGAGCCCAAGCACACATTTAGCCTATCTGCTCGGCCATCGAACGCTGGCTGGGGAGACAGGAACATCCGCTGGGCATAAAAAGCAGAGCTTTCAGGGCAGTGACTAAGGACAACCAGGATGTGTGGTTTGTGGGACAAGGGCGGTTTGGGGCAAGGGAGGGTTATGCTCCCCCGGTCAGACTTGCCCCTGGAACACTGGGACAGCTGCAGGTGGGGGTCCCTTTGGTTCATGGCCAGACGACAAGAGGGACAGCGTCTGCCTTCATGCTGTCCTACGCTGCTCCCAAACCTCACTCCCACCAGCCGGAGCCGGGCAGATGGAGGCCGCCAAGACCACAGGTCAGAGTGCAGAGGCTGGGACAGCTTCATGAAGGGGAAGGGTCCTAGAGGAACAGGGACCTAGGAAGTTCAGAGAACAAGAAGAGACACAGAGGCCTCCCACATGGATAAAGGCTCTGAACAGATAAGCAGGGCAGCAACAGGCTGACCGGCACAGAAGCTGTTCATGTGCATCTGCAGATGAGGCCAGACTGTGGGGACTGGGATTCCAGGCTGGCCTAGTTGAGCTTGTGATGGGCAACAGGTGGGAAGAGTGCTTCAGGGAGATGCAGTGGACGGTCAGATGACTGGCAAGGAGAGATGAGAGAAAGTTTTAGAACCAACTTCAAAACCAAAGGAAAAAATATTTTGAACTTTGAATCAAGTCACAATATGCACATTTCACCAGTAATGAAGAGAAAATGTTTTTACATTTTCTGTCAACAGAAGGTGTTTATATCCTTGTACACTCACTACCCCAGATGGTAAAATAAACCATAAATTATAAAACACTTTACTTTGTCTTGTACAAAAAGAAATTCAAAATAGGCCTATAGATATGCAAAAACCTTATGTGCAAATAAAATAAGCATACTCTTAAAATACACATATACATTTTCTTCGTAGAATACATGTCTGATTTGCATGACGGAACTGATCGTGTGTGTGTGTGTGTGTGTGTGTGTGTGTGTGTGTGTCACTGGTACACCGTCTAAAACTTGAATGTTAGAATGGAAATGACATATTAAAAGTAAAGCAATAGTTAATATATTTTTAATAGTTTTCCAATCAGGATATGCAAACAGTTTCATTTTCTTTTCAACATTTTGGTGTCCTGAAAAGTTCCATCTCGGCAGGCTGACCTGAACACCATTATTACAATATTTACACATTTAAAATGGACAGGAAGAGTCAAGAGCACAATATTACTCCAAAACTGAGTTCAATCTGATCATCTTTCTCAGAAGACTGGCCTGACCCATTTGCCTTTTTTATTCTACTGAATGCTATTTTCAATTATAAACCATGTCACTTCATCTCAGAATATAAATGTCCAGTCAGAGTAACACTGTTATTTGAACACAGCATTTTCAGTCATCAGGACAAATCAGACCTAGTAACTGGTAAGCTTCTTCCTCCTCGATAAGGCCTGGAGATGCCTCCTCTCCTCAGGACACCCAGCTCATTACATGCACATTCGACTGACAAGAACATTCTACCTCACACCACTGTCACGTTTTCAGGCATATCTTCTATCCCAATAGACGGCAGGATTTTAAGCAACCATGTCATAAACCCCTTAGTGTCTCAGTCTACATCTTACATGGAGCTTTGTAGAGATGGAGCCTCAAAAACATGAGTAGCTTGACTGTTATATTCTGAGTGAAGACAAAGCCATGCCTACAGGTCAGACATGTCCACTTTCTCATGTGCTCATACTCTATGGTCAGTTTCAGAGTTGACCAAAATTAGAGTCCACAAGGTTGAGAAAGTCATATTTTAAAGTCACATGATGAGCCAAGGAATCCTCAGACTGCATTACCTGCTCATTGCTCATCTCTCCTCTGTGGACAGAGTCACAGATTCACTTATACCCTCTAGAGGGAACCCACCCCTGCCTTCACAATGCCATGTTTCCCCTCACTTAGTGCTCGCCAGTACCTCTCTTATCAGATCTCTAGAAAGTCAAGGGAGAAAGTTCTAGGACCCATAACCTACTATTAAACAATTCCCAATGTAGGGATTTATTTCAGGAACAGAAATCTCACATTTGCCCCTTGGTGGTTTTTTTATTTATTACTCAGTCACAAGGGAAAATCTAGGGGAGAAATTTTCTGTTCTGTAGGTGTTCTTGCACTAGCTGTTGGACCTTGAATTGTCCTGAAGGAGAAACCAAGAAATAGCGTTAATCCACTCACTAGCTGAGCTGAGGGAAAAATGCAGGCACTGGCCAGAATCTAATGGCTCTCTGTCATCAGCCCAAACCTGCCTTGCTCTGGAAACAAAGGCCCATTTCAGCCAAACACACTAAAAAGTGGTTCAATTCTCAGTGGAAGGAAGAGAGGACCCCAGCCAGGCAACCCACGGGGGTCTGATTCCTAAGACCCTGAATCATTCATGGCCAATACTGATACATGGAAGTCCTGACTTCAATCACTGACTGGTCTTATATTTTTGTGGTCCTTGGTTGCCTTGAGACCCTACGGTACCCATCCATGCCCAGCCACTGGGTCACAAGCCTGATCAATGTCCTGCGGTGAACCTCGCACCATGGGCCTGGATGGACTACGTGTGCCCTTGGGGGTCACAGCTTCTGACAGGCCTTAGCTGGGTTTGGGGCCAGCCCACTCTACCCTCTGTCCTGCAGTGACCACACAGCATGGGCACAAGATGGGCCCAAGGATGGAGAGAAAGTGTAACTACAGGTTGCCCTGGATTGCTCCAGTCAGAGCCACTCTCTTTAAGGAACTTCCATGCTCAGAAATGAAGAGTTTACCCAGAAGTCATTCAACATTGACTGATCATGAGTACACTAAGAACAGAGACTGTGAGGAAACATGAAAGAGAAGAAGAGACCCTTTCCCTAGGGACCTTGAACCCTAATTCTCATCAAGTGACAGTCTCATCAGGAGTCAGCAGGCACTGCACAGTTCCTACAAGCTACTACCACCTCGGACCTCCATCCTGCACACAGAAGCCCAAGGAGGTTCTCAAGCTCCAGGGCGCCAGGCCCCAGTCGCTGAGGTTCTAATTTAGCAGGTTTCGGGAATACCCATACACATGGGTTTTCCAAAGTTCCAGAAAGCCATTCGATGTGAAGACTGGGTTGAGTACAAAATATTTAGTATTTCTTAAATGGGAGCTGCCAGCATTTGGTTTCTCTTTCTTTCCCTATTAACATTACTTCTTCCCTCATTCTCTTGCCATGGCCAGGATTAAAATTGTTAGCCCTTTTGGGGCACCTGGGTGGCTCAGTCGGTTGAGTGCCTGATTCTTGGTTTCAGCTCAGGTCCTGATCTCTCCTGATCTCAAGGTCATGAGATGGAGCCGAGTGTCAGATACTGAGCTCAGTGGGTAGTCTGCCTGAGATTCTCTCTCCCTCTCCTTCTGCTCCTCCCAGCTGCACTCTTTCTCTCGCTTTAAAATAAATAATTAAATCTTTTAAAATATTGCTAGCCCTTTTGCATAATAAAAAGTACTAGATGTAACTCAACAAAATGTCATGAAAAGTAAAGCAAATAAAAAGCATTACTTTCTCGCCGCTGGTTAAAATGCAATATAATGATGAAATCTGATGCGATTTTTTAAATATAAATTCCCCTGAAATCTTGAAAACACAAACCAAGAAGAATAGAAAGGGTAGCAGGAGATTTGGTACCTTGGGTAAAGATGATTCCCCTCAAGTGAAACCTCTCCCCACCCCTGTGCCAACAGTCACTTGGTCAAGCAAGCCCACACAGGCTGCTCTGGACATTGTTAGAATCAGGCAGAACATGGGGTTTCACTATCTCCTCCAACATGTTGCCTGACCGACCACTTCCATGCAGCACATCAAAACAGACCCCTCAAACCTGATCCTTGGGTGGTCCTGTGCAAGTAATATCTGCTAATACAAAGAAAGATTATGTGCCCATTGCATTTAATGCCCTTGAGGTGTAACAACTGATTTCATCCTCCAACAACCCCAGGAGGTAGGTATGGTAATTTCCTTACATTACAGATGAGGAAACTGAAGCAGAGAGAGACTGAATGACTTGCCCAAGGTCACAGAGCTGGAAGGGAGTAGCACTGGGTTTCTGGAGGACACATTCTGAATCACTAAGGCTTCCATTACCTTTGTTATGTTACTTTCCAGTGAAACCTAAAAATGAAATCAGTTGAGTGTTCTGTGTAGGCAAATGATTTCCTTTTGATTATTTCTCTTAAGTGCCCATTCCTTGCCAAAACATAAGATTGTTAATGATTCACCTTGGAAAACAGTTCAACGGGTGCAGCTATAGCCTTCTGTTCTGTCAAGTACTGCTCCCACGACCATGCTTCCTGTGTAGCCATTGAAGGAACTGGAAAGGAAAACACAGTGACTTTTCTTGAAGCAGTTAGGGACAGAAAAATAGTATTTAACTGAAGATAAACACAACAAGCAGGCTGATTCGTCAAATAGGTAATCAGGAGAACTAGCAACTAATAAAAACTTTCTCTCTCACTTTCCATGAGCATTTAGTAAAATCATCTAACCAGCCCATATGCAGCTTCTCCTGTTTTAGAACAAGTCTATGACTATATCCCCTTCCCCAAGAAGACCACTGATAAACACTTAAAATGGGTAGTTTTGGGGCGCCTGGGTCGCTCAGTCATTAAGTGTCTGCCTTCAGCTCAGGTCATGATTCCAGGGTCCTGGGATGGAGCCCCACATCGGTATCCCTGCTTAGCGGGAAGCCTGCTTCTCCCTCTCCTGCTGCTCCCCTGCTTGTGTTCCCTTTCTCACTGTGTCTCTGTCAAATAAATAAATAAAATCTTTTAAAAAATGGGTAGTTTCTTACTCCTCTCAAAGAAGAGTAAACAGGTACTAAGACATGACTTGGTTCATTTTTTTTTAAATTTTTTATTTCTTTTCAGCGTAACAGTATTCATTGTTTTTTGCACCACACCCAGTGCTCCATGCAATCCGTGCCCTTGTTCATTTTAAGGTGAATGACCTGCAAATATCCGTATAATCTCCTTTTGCTTTCATACCTCTTTTTGGGATGAACATCAAGTGGTACAACTTGTTGGAAGGCAATGTGGAAATATATGTCAAAAGCCTTAAAAATTTTTCATATATAATTTTGAACCAGCTATTCTGTTTCCAGGAATCTGTCTTAATGAGATTACAGTGAATGCACACAAGGTTTTCTATCCTAGAACTCCTCATAATAATGAAACGTTGGAAACAAACTACTGGTCTACAAAGAGGGTTAATTAAATACATTATACAGACGTGTCACTTTAATAATAAGCTGTAAAATTACATTATAGAAGATTAATGGCAGAGAAAGACTATGTAAATGATACACTACCAGTGGGGAAAAAGACAACAGTTTAGAAAACAAAATGATCCTTTTTGGTAAAAGATGTAATTGAAATATGAAAGACTAAAATTACATAAATCAAAATCTTAAGTGAAGTCATCTTTAGCTGCCAGGATTATGGCTTCTTCCCAATTTTCTCTGCACTTTATCTTTCTGCTTTCCAAATTTTCTAAATCAATAGCTATCCTTTGTAATTCAATAAAAATATCATTTTTAAATAATAAAAATCTGAAAAGGACTGATAGCTGTTTTAAGTTTATACTTTGATATCCCAGTAATTTCCCCTTTAGGATTAACATGCTAAGTAGTCATGATAAAAGTTGATAATAAAAATATACATTAAAACATTATTACGACAAAAACACAAAATAATAATATGAGAAAAAGGTCAAAAAGACTATAACACATGTACATATATACATAGGCACATATATACATATGATTTTGAAGCTACTGAAAACTATTTTTTTTAAAGATTTTATTTATTTATTTGACAGACATAGATTACATAGACATAGGTAGAGAGGCAGGCAGAGAGAGAGAAGAGACAGCAGGCTCCCTGCTGAGCAGAGAGCCAGATGCGGGACTCAGGGATCATGACCTGAGCTGAAGGCAGAGGCTTTAACCCACTGAGCCACCCAGGCGCCCCTGAAAACTATTTTTTAAGTAACAAAATATCTTGGAAATTTTCTAGGTTAAGTAAAATCAATGTAAAGATCATAAAATAGATTATATTATCCTAAGTTTTAAAATATAATTTTTTACATATACTGAGATATTTGTTTATTCAACACATTTATAAAGCACCTTCTTTGTGCAAGGCACTTGTCCACACATACAACACACATGCATAGAAAAGCAACTGAAGAGGAACAGCAAAATATGAATAGTGGCTCTATGTGGGTAGTAGGATTAATGTAAATATTCTTTGTTTGTTACTTTCTACTATTTCAAGATTCTCTACAAGTATTAGTACCATACATGTACACACACACACACACACACACACACACACACACACACACTCTCTCTCTCTCTCATATGCACACACCCTGGAGAAGAATGGCCAAAAAGCACTATATGAGTTTTAACATTTATCATGCTGTAGAATGTTCCTGAAGAAGGGACAGATGGTAAAGGGTCAGACCCGCATAAGCAGTGGTAGTGACAGACAGTAAGATGCATCTCTAAGTCAAACGTTTGAAACCTCTCAAGACAATAAAGCAACCTGATGCAGTGACAAACATAAAAATCCGTAAATTGTAGGAAGAATTCATGTAGACTTCTAATTATTTTAAAAATATTTGATGTGATTTAATGTGACAAGAAGTGTGCTGCCCATTGAAATAGAAATATAACCCAGTCCCTGATCCAGCAGATGAAAAATAAACAAATGATATATACTATTTATCCTTTGATACACATGTATATATAATTGACCGAAAGGGAGTAACTTAAGCTCAGATTATAAAGAGAAATCATATCAATTTAGAGTTTAAAAACAGTATATACATTAATATTTACTATTTATCAATCACAACATACTAGCATATTCTTGCTAAGAAATACACTTACTAAAGTGTATTGAAAAACACTTTAATCATCAAATAGAGCTAACAGAATTGTCATCAATGGCTTCTCTTGCTTTGTTTGAAAATAATGAGACATCATAGTGTGATTTCCATCAAGGAGCTTACAGTCTTTTCAACCATTATAGCACTTACATATTTACTGCCATTTGCACCACAATATGAGATATTTTATTTTTTTAAATAGAGAAAACAATTTGACAAACCCTGAAGATTCGCTAGTAAGATTATTCAACATCCCTATTTTCACAGAAGCATTTTACTACATTACAATTATATGCTTTACAAAAAAACATTATGGCAGTGTTGTCTCTAAAGCAAATATAGATACCTCATTTTCTACAACATCTGTGTTCTTAAAAAGATTGTGTATAATTTCTCAATTTAATCATATTTCCCATTGTTATATATCATTTCACCAGAAGTAAATCATATCTATGATCATCTCTTATGATCACATAAGTCTGTAATAACCCTTTGAAGTTTTGTCAGAAAAAGAAAACAGGGTATCAAAAATAACAACTTTCCATGAATTCAGTATTTCTGTAAAGCAAGAGGACTAGTCAACAACATGGTACCGGCCAGTGAGACAAGGAAATACCACGTTCCTCTGCTCCTGGGGCCACACACAGGCCTGGAGTCATCACCGACTCTAGGAGGACTCATGCCAGCTGAAAGGAACCAGTTTGCTTATTTAGAATTGTGATGTAAACTCCTAAAAACAAAGGATCTCGTTGATCTTGTCTATGACTGTACCTTGGAGCTACAACCATGCTTGGTCATAAATATTTATTTAATGAATTAAAGAGAAGGCAGGCAGGTGAGATAATAATTCTGGCTTTTAAAATGAATTCAAAGATAATCTATTTTGACCAACTCATTGCTCAGTTTCCTGAAAAGAAGGAACCAGTTACGAACAGCACTGCTTCAGGCACTGAATTCTCTTTATTTTTTATGTAATTTTCTTGAATGTTCTACAGATACGACATTCATTTCACAGAGTATTAGATAGGCACACAGGTTTGTAAACCTTAAATTCCACTTCTTTTCACTATACACAGTGGCTACAGCAAAACATTTCAATTATTACTCTTCTGCCACACATACTAATATACAACATATATTTGATTATACATGACCTGTCACATAATACGCACCTATTATATGCCAGGTGCCAAATTACAGGGTGTGTGTTTGTGTGTGTGTGTGTGTGTGTGTGTGTGTGTGTACATGCATGCGTGTACATGATGTAAGTGTGTATGTATGAAAGTATAGTTTCCATTTATTCTTTACAAAAGTAAATATCAGATTTGTAGCCTCATTTTAAAATTATAGGAAACTGGCTTACAGAGGTCACACATCTGGAAAAATCTGGATTCAAACAAAATTTCTAACCCGTGCACTCCCATTATACAATATTGCCTCACTTTAGCATACATGGTGAAAATGTAGCAGAAATGCCTATTAAATTAATAACTTTTAAAGTTAAAACACCATAAATTAAGTCTGCAGGGTAATTAACAAGCTCACTCATTCATGGTGGCTGTGTAAATCGGACTCAAACTTGGGAAGTCATGTTGACAATGCATATATGTATTCCTCAGAGATACTGCAGGTTCAGGTCCAAACCACCATAATCAGGGAAATATTGCAACAAAGCAAGTCAAATGAATGTTCTGGCTTCCCAGTGTATATAAAAATTATGTTTATACTATACTATAGCCTATTAAGTATGCAATAGTGTTGTGTCCTAAAAAACAACATACATAACTTGGTTTAAAAGTATTTTATTGATGGGGAGCCTGGGTGGCTCAGTCGGTTAAGCTTAAACTCTTGGTTTCAGCTCAGCTCATGATCTCGCGGTTGCGGGATCAAGCCCCGTGTGGGGCTGTGCTCAGTAGTGTCTTCTTCAGATTCTCCCTACCTCTCTCTCTCATTCACTCTCTCTCTCTCTCTCCCCCTCAAATAAATAAATAAAATCTTTAAAAATACATATATTGTATTGATTAAGTAAACGCTGTCATCCGAGCTTCCAGTGAGTCATAATCTTTTGGCTAGTGGAGGGTCTTGCCTCACTGCTGTGGCTACTGACTGATCAAGGCAGGGGCTGCTGAAGGCTGGGGTGGCTGTGGCCATGTCTTAAAGTAAGACAACAATGAATGACTCTTCCTTTCACTTGAACGCTTAGAGGTCGTGGTCCGGTTATTAATTGCCCTAATTCCAATATTGTTGTGCCTCAGGGAATAGAAAGGCCCAAGAAGAGAATGAGAGGCGGGAACAGCTGGCAGGTGGAGCAATCAGAGCACACATAACATTCATCGATGAAGTTCACCATCTGAGAGGGTTACAGCTCATGGCACCCCAAAACATTTATAAAAGTACCTTGAAGACCACTGATCACAG